ATATTTTCAATATCACTACTTTTTTATATAGTGAAGAGAGTGTATTATTACTCGATATTATAATATTTTTAAGTTTAAAAATGAGTCTTTTTAAGTATAAAAGTATTAATGGTTTTAAAATTTATGTTTTGTATAATTATTTTATAGACAAATATTTTTCTATAAAAAAGTATTTTAAAACAGCTCTTTTAAAATTTGAAAAATATAATTTTTTAAGTCCTGACATTTTTTTCATGTATCATTCCTACAAGCTAAGCAATCACTAGTAATAATAAGAAAGTTGATATAATAATAATAATCATAATAATAATAAAAATAATAAAAACAATAATACTTCATCCGTCCTATAATGATATGGAGTAATAATAATAATAATAATAATAATTAAAGTTATAACATTAATCAATATTTACGTGTGTATCTTTAAATAAAGTAATGTAGTTTAATGGAATAGTAATTATTATTTAATCCTTGAAAAAATATTAAAATTATTTTTATTAATTATTTTTTGTCCGGATCTGATTGAATTTGATCTTTCCTGATCTGATTAGATCTGATATGGTCTAATTGGTTCTGAGATCTGGTTAGATCTAATATGACCTGATCTGATTAAATCTTATCTGATCTAATTTTAATCAGAATAAGTAATAAGCAAAAAATGAGTAGCCCACTACTGATTTAATTTGTTTACTGAATGAGATAAAAACCAGTCCCCTATGGTCACCCTTTTTAAAAAAGTCATCTAAATCATCCTTAACTTCATCATTCGTCCACAAAATGTAAAAAAATTCACATTTAAATTTTGTTAGAATTGTTATTGCCATTTAAATTTTGTTTGTAAAACTATTTAACGTCAAACTATCTTTGAAACTGTAAGAAGTAATCTAAGATTATTTTTAAAACTCAAAATACAATTTAAGGTCTCGTTTGGTACATGGAATTCAAACTCTGAAATTGGAATTGGGGACTTCAATTCCAATTCTGGTGTTTGGTAGCACAAAAATTATGTAGATTTGGAATTGATAGTGCAAAAAATGAATTGAAATTGACAGTATTCAATTCTATGAAATTGAATCCCATGAAATTTCAATTCCAATTCAATTCCAATTCCACCAATTCCTTATACCAAACAAACCCTAACTATTTTTTAAACAGAAAAAGTAAATACCGAAATTGTTGGAAAAATGTCAATCATTTAACTTAAATTGTGCATATATTGAGCTAAATGGGGACTAATTTCGACACTGCATGTGACGGAATCATACTCCTTGATCATAAATTCTTCTCAAGACTTCAATAGCTTGATCATAATGAGTAGCCGTACTACTAATTAAGTTTGTTCACGGAATGAGATAAAAATGTGGCGAATCAAATGATTTTAAGTAATTAAAAATAATAATTAAAATAATTTTAAGTAATTAAAAAATAATAATTTAAATACACAAATGTTAAATTTGTGTAGTTTGCGTCCAAATTGTTTGTGACTCTAGTATTATTCAAAAATGAGTACGTCCTTTATGATCGCCCTTTAAAAAAAGTCATTTAAGGTCATCCTTAATTACATTATTAAAGTTTTTAAAGTGTCAAATTTTCACATTTAAATATTTTTAAAACTGTTATTATTACTTATTACGATTTAAACATTTTTATAGAACTATTTAACATCAAGTGCCATTTAACATAAAAAAAGTATCTTCAAAACTGTAAAAAGTAGTCTAAGATTATCTTCAAAACTCCAAATACCATTTCAATATTTTTTCAAATGTCAAAAATTCACATTTAGATATCTATAAAATTGTAAATTCCATTTAAATATTTTTTTAAAAACTATTTAACTTCATATGCCATTTAAATAGGATTTAACATCATCAATCTTATTAAAGTTGTAAAACTTAAAAAGCCTCTAAATTCTTCTCAATAATGAGTAGCCGCACTACCGATTTAATTTGTTCAGTACATTAAATAAAAAAAGGTGAAATTTGCACTAAATAGGACTAAAACATAATGATTTTTCCTAATCTAGGACTTAAACTTTTTTATTTTCTAAATAGGACTTAATAATGTCTTCGTGTCTTCGTGGAAGGAATAATGCCCAGCAATGATGGACATTTACTTAAATAATGACTAATTAATAATGACCAAAGGTCATACATTGAGAAATAAAAACATATGGTCCTATTTGGAGAAAGTCATTATGTTTTAGTCCTATTTAGGTAAATTACTCATAAAAAAGACTCCTATGATCACTCTTTTAAATTTGTTCAGTACATCTAAGATTAAATAAAAAAGTCATCTAAGATTATCCTTAATTCATCATTCACCCTCAAAACGTCAAAAATTCATATTTAATATTCTTAATACTGTAAATGCCATTTAATGTCAAAAATATTTTTAAAACTGTATAATTGTAAAAAGTCATCCAAGATTATCTTAAAAGTAGAGTTTTTTGCACCAACACCGCTAGTAGTTTGATAAATGTGCACCGTTACCCCCATGATTTTAAAATTTATGTCGTTGCCCCTCTAGTCCTGATATTCTTGCGCCTAAACCTCTCAGGACAAAAATATCCTTAAAATATTATGTTTTTGGAAATGGACATCAAGGCCCCCTCTCCTTTTTCCTTATTCTTTTTCTTTTTTCTTCTCTTTTTTTCATAAAGAGAAAAAAATGTTTGTGTGTGAAATAATGAAAGATTGTTTTGTCAAACCTACATTTTAAAAAAGAATTAAAAATAAAAAAATTGTGTGTTTGAAATAAAAAAAATTAACATATACTTCATTTGCCAAATTCAATGTTTTTTTCTAATTTTTTTTATCTTTTTGAATATGTCGGGACCAAAAGAATACTGTGTAACATCTTTTTAATAAATAGTTAATTGTATATTAATAATATTTTTTGGACTAATGCGCAAAAGATTTCCTTCATAACTTAATTTTCCATGTTCTATAAAATATTTTTTTTCATATAATTTTCTTTTTCTTTATTTTCTTTTATATTCTTTTTTTTCTTTTATTTTAATTTTGATTAAATTAAATTAAAAGAAACGGTATAAAATTAATGAACAGAAAATGAGAAATGAGATTTAGTAAAAAAATAGAATATTTCATTGATTTTCGTATTATGAAAGTGAACCAATAAAGATATCTTTTGGAAAAAATGGAAATATTTAATTTGAGACAAATGAAATCACGTCGATTCTTGTTAGTTAATTGATTTTTATCGCAAACATAAAAAGCTTTTGATTATTAAAACATTATAAAAAATAATTTAAAAAAAAAATTAAAAAAATTCATGAAAAATAGTAGAAAAAATAAAAACAATAAAAAAGAGAGGGTGTTTGTGCCAATTTTTAAAATTCATAGAGGGCATTGAAGCTATTCATATAATATTTGAAAGATATTTTAGTTTATAGGAGTATTGTCGTAGCAATATCAGAATCGTGAAGGCTAACGGTGCAAGTTTTGAAACCATAAGGGACAACAGTACACATTTACCAAATCACAGAAGGTCATGATGCAATAAACTCCTTAAAACTGTAAAAGCCATTAAAATATTTTTTTAAACGTCAAAAATAAATTAAAGGAAAACAATCCCCTAAGATCACCCTTTTACAAAAGTCATCTAGGAACATCCTTAATCTCGTCATTCATCCTTAAAACATCAAAAAGTCGCATTTAAATATTTTTAACATTGTAAATGCTATTTAAATACTCCCTCCGTCCCGTGAAACATGAGACATTTGCTTTTTAGGAGGGATTTAAGGGAGTGTATTTTGCTATTGAATTTCCAAAAATGTTCTTTGATGTGATGGGTAAAAGTATGATTTGATGGATAGATTATTAGTAAAAAGGTATGATGTGATAGTTAGGATATGAAAAAGTAAGGGGTAAAAGTGACTTTTTAATAAAAATGAGAAATGTTTTGTGGGACAGATGAAAAAAGAAAGGGGAAATGTTTCACGGGACGGAGGGATTAACTAAAAAGTATTTAAGGACAGATGCCATTTATTGCCAAAAATATTTTCAAAACTGTAAAACTGTAAAACTGTAAAAAGTGATACTCCGTACAAGATTATTTTTAGATTTGTAAAATCCATTACAAAATTTTAAAACGTCCAAAAATATATATAGAAATTTGTCAAATAAATTCGTTCGTTTAACTTAAATTGTGCATTTTGAGGTAAATGGGTAGTAATTTCGGCACCACATGTGACGGAATTATACTAATTATCACCTTGTGATAAAATTCTTCTCAAAGATTTCAATACCTTGATTACAAAGAGTAGCGGCACTATGGATTTAATTAATTCACTAAATGAGAAGAAAACAAAAGAATCCCATATGGTCACCATTTTTTTTTAAAAAAGTCATCTAAGATCATCCTTAATTTCATCATTCGACGTCAAAAAATCACATTTAAATTTGATTTTTTAAACTATTTAACGTCAAAAATATTTTTAAAACTTTAAAACTATAAAACGTTATCTAACACTATTTTTAAAATTTTAAATGCCATTTGAATATACTTTTTAAAATGTCAAAAGTAAATAAAGAAATTGTTATTAAAGAAGTCGAAAATTTAACTTAGATTGTGCTTATTGAGTTAAATGAGGAGCAAATTCGGCATCACAAGTAAAGGAATCGTACCCTCTAGCACCTTGTGTTCAAATTCTTCTAAAGACTTCAATTAGCTTGTTTATAATGAGTAGGTACACTACTATAATTTGTTCACTAAATCTTATATTCTCCCTCCCAAAATGTTTACCACATTTTCTTTTACAATAATCACAAGAACTTTTATTAGTTACTATCTCCGTCCCACTGTCTTTGTCCACTTTTAACTTTTGTAACTGTTCATCTAAGCACTTTGACTCATCAAATTCTCTCAATGTGTAAGCCTAAGGGGCTGTTTGTTTCAGCCTCTTAATGGTTCAGATGTCTGAATGATTCAGCACTTAATGGTTCAGACTGTTTGTTTCAGCCTCTTAATGGTTCAGATGTCTGAATGGTTAAGAGATTTGCCTCTGAATGGTTAAGTATTATACAGAGTCTGAATGGTTAAGAGCTCTTATCTGAATTGATCAGACATTTGCCTCTGAATAGTTAAACAATATACTAGCTCTTAATGGTTCAGACCTCTTACTGGTTCAGCACTTAATGGTTCAGACCTCTTACTGGTTCAGCACTTACCCATTCAGAAGTTACCAAACAGCCCCTAAATATAGTCATTTGTGATCTTGTTTGATTTGTCTTAACATACAGATTATTAATATATAATTTCTATAATTTTTTAATATACAAATTACAAGATAAAATGGATTAAAGATGTGCATTGGATGGTGTGCCAAAAGGTAAGTGGACAAAGACAGTGGGACGTAGGGAGTATTTAATAAAATAAAATATTCTTGACACCTCTTATTTCGAAGAACTTTTTATGTAGTTTTTAAATATGTAAATTTTATTTTTTATTTCTATACCAATATTTAAATAAAATGAAATGAAAAAATTTGATATAGTCTCGATTTTAGAAATGTGGTAAACATTTAGGGACCAAGAGAATATAAATTTGAGAGTTCAATTCTTAAGAAATTGACATGTGGCAAATCAATAACTTGACATGTGGCATTTTAAGGACTTCACATGTGGCATATTAAGTAGCAATTTAACCAATTTTTACACTCTTTAACTGTTTTATTTTTTCTCTTTTTTGAGAATGATAATTACCTATTTTGAACTCATAACTCAAAATTTAGAGTTAAAATCATTTTCTCTAGAATTTATTGTTTTTGATAAAACATTATATTTTCACAACTACGTAAAAATATTTTTAATACACGTCTTGGATTCCGTAAATCATACAATATACAAAAAAATATTTATAATAATAAATAAAATACACTCCTCACCTATACATAAATTATACTCCCTCCGTTCCATAAAATCCTTCTTCTTTCGTTTTTTCCAATTCACTAAAACACTTTCACTTTTTATTAAAAAACCACTTTTACCCCTACTTTTTCATATACTACCTATCACATCATATTTTTCACTAATAACCAAACATTGTTCGATAATCTGAATTATATAATAGCATCAGTTTAATCATTAATGAGTTACGAAGAATTATCTTCGATACAATTATAATATTAGGAAACAAAGTCGTGTAGAGAGCATTTAAATGACCTAAATTAAATGAATTATGTATCATTTCATACAAGATTATCCTTATTTTGCGAGTGAGAATAAAAGTAGGGTTAAAAGTATGAAAAATTTGCACTAAATATGACTAAAACATAATAACTTTCTCAATGTAGGACTTAAATTTTTTTATTCATTAAATAGGATTTAATAATGTCTAGAGAAAGAAATAATGTCCAGTGAAAGCGAACATTTATATTACTTGAATAATGACTAATTAATAATGACCAATGATACTATATTGGGAAATAAAAACGTATGATTCTATATTGAGAAAGTCATTATGTTTTAGTCCTATGTAAGTGTCTTTGAAAATCTTTATAACATCACAAAAAATGTTGTATACCTCAAATTTTTTGAAATGTTTAAATTTATAAAAAGACTTTGACCTTTAAATTTCAAATACATAATGTAAAAATTTCATTAACAAGTGTTATATATCTAATCTTTATTTTATATTTTAAGGTTGATGTTTTATTTTGTTTGATATTTGAAAAATGATATGCAAATAAAAAATATTTAAAAAAATTGTTTCCCCCGTGAGATACTAGTGAGATAGAAAAAGCACTCTCTTATGATCAGCCTTTTAAAAAAAAGTGAAATTTGCACTCAATATAACTAAAACATAAGTCATTTCCCTATGTATGATTTAAAACTTTTTTATTCCCTAAATAAGATTTAATAATGTCTAGTGGGAAGAATAATGTCCAGTAATGATAAACATTTAGTTAAATAATAACTAATTGATAATGACCAAAAGTCATACATTGGGAAATAAAAACATATGGTCCTATATTGAGAAAGTCATTATGTTTTAGTCCTATTTATGTAAATTTCTCTTTAAAAAATTCATCTATGATCATCATTCGTTTTCCAAACGTCAAATGCCAATTAACGTCAAAAATTCACTATTAGGTATTTTAAAAACAGTAAATGTCATTTAAATATTTTTTGAACGATTTAACATCAAATGCCAATTAACGTCAAAAATATTTTTAAAACTGTAAAACTGTAAAAAGTTATCTATCCCTAAGATTATTTTTAAAACTGTAAAACGCCATTTGAATTTTTTTAAACGTTAGAATTGAAATTGTTGTAAAAAAAAGTTAATTGTTTAACTTAGATGGTGCATATTGAGGTAAATGTTAGCGTAGTATATTTTGTAAATATTCGTTTATCATGTATTGGGCTATGTACATTATGGGCCCGTAGCTAGTATACTCCGTCATGTATTCACGGAGCAATTTACTAGGGATATCGTTCCATCATCGCAATCCTGTTAAGTCACAGACGTCGTCTGTCAAGCGCCGTCCGGCCGTCCGCCTTCCTCAGCAGCTCTGTCCGTCAGAAGTTCCGTCCCAGTAGATCCGTCCGTCCGGCAACAGTCATCCCCAAAGTTCCCGGCAGTTCCGTCCGTCCTTCCGGCAGATCCATCCGTCCGTCCGGCAGATCTGTCCGTCCGTCAGTTCCGTTCGCCCAGGAGATCCGTCTGTCTGCTCCAGCGATCCTGCCGATCCAGTAG